ACCTCATGTCATCAGCTGCCAATCTCCCATGGGGGGTCCCGCAGGGATCTATACTAGCTCCTACCCTTTTTTCTTTATATATGCTCCCATTGGACTCTATTTTCCGAAAGCATGGTGTATCTTTTCATTGCTATGCCGATGACACCCAGATTTATTTGCCCCTTAAACGCTCAGGTAACATCTCCCTGGGCCCTCTAATGGAGTGTATGGAGGTCATAAAAATCTGGATGTCATCAAATTTTCTTAATCTAAACGAAAAGAAAACGGAAATAATATACTTTGGTCCCCCTAGTGGCATTCCCACAAAGTTTGTTAATGATCACCATGTCACATTTCAAGCCAAAACTCTTGTTAAAAAGCTGAAACTAGACAAACAAGTATACTCAGTGGTTAGATCCTGTTTTCTTTCCAAAATTAAGTCTTTTCTCTCTTTTCAAGATTTTGAAAGAGTAACTCATGTTTTTATATCATCACGGTTAGACTTCTGTAACTCACTTTATTGTGGAATGAACACTACTTCCCTGGCCCATCTCCAGTTGGTCCAAAATGCATCAGCAAGACTTTTATTGGGCCTCCCTGAATCCACTCACATTACACCTGCGTTAGCATCATTGCATTGGCTGCCTGTCCTGTTTAGAATGAGTTCAAAACCCTAGTTTTTGTTTTTAAGTCCCTAAACAACTTAGCCCCCTCATATCTATCTGCACTTCTATCTCTACATAACCCTTCTCGAGCTCTTCGATCCAGTAGTCATAGATTGCTCAATGTTCCCAGATCCAGACTTAAACAAAGAGGTGAACGTGCCTTTGCTGTCGCGGGTCCTAAACTCTGGAACAGTTTACCAGTTCATATTAGATCTGCTCCTACAATACATATTTTTAAATCTTTGCTTAAAACTCATTATTTTTCCATTGCTTTTAATGTCCCTTGTTGATTAATTTTTAAATTCGACTTTTGTTGTTGTTCCGGTTTTCTTTTGATATCTTGTTGATAATTTGTCTCTGATTTTATCTGTGATTTTTTTTATTGTTTTGCTTGTATTTATTTTATCTGATGCTGTAAAGCACATTGGTCAGCTGCCGCTGGTTTAATGGTGCTATATAAATAAATTACATTTGAAACCTGAATATAGGTACAAAGGTGTAGCTTTTGAAAAGGTCTAGTGACAGCTTTTGTACTTTTTTTTTGTATGCTAAAAATCTAACACCACATTTTGCCTATGAACTATCCCACTTGGAAAAAAGAAACAGTGAATTGCAGTTTCTAACTCCTTAAAAGGGTACTGTCATACAGAAATAACTATAGCTAAGTATTACTAACTCTTGTCCCACTCTTGTTTTGTTTTAATGGGGCAACTGTATATAATTTCCCCTTTAAATGTTGTCAGATTTTTTTTTAAATATAGGACCACCATTTATAGCAAATTAGTGAGGTCCTGATATTAACGTTTTAAAGAGAAAGTTAGGAGTAATTAATTAGGCTGCAGGGCTCTCTAAGCTATTTAGGGGCATCCGTTCATTGAACATTGAGAGCGCGTTTCTCCTGTCCAAGGGCTTTTCTCCTGTCCAGCTCTTCTCAGTTCACATTGCCTCTCAGAGGGCAGAATAGCCCAAGCCTTGATCCTCATCAGTTGTCATCCCCAGTTTGGGCCACTTTGGCTGCTGCTAGTGGGGAAGTCAGGCCTAATCCCTGGAAGGAATCAGGGCAAAAGAAAAGCAACAATAACCAAGTCAACCGTAAAAAATGAAAGCGAAATCTCTATTATCAGCCCCAACATTTCCCAGCGATGCAGTGAAATCAGACTGGTTTGTCATTCGAGTCAGACACCGCCCGGGGGGGAGAATCTGGGGTCGCTTTGGGTTGGTAGACTCACACGACGTTTAGAGAGCAATATTTCGGTGAAAGGGGGCCTCGCATTTGCAAAATCCCCCTCACATCTCGCCATAAGCATTAAATGCAGTCTGACTTTATGTTGTATAGGCAGCGCAAAACAAGAAAAGAGGCACAGTTCTCGCATAAAAGAACGCGATTTTGGGGGATTAGGGACGGCCCAAAGGTTGGAGAATAACTTCTGCATAACTTTACAGCTCCTCTCTCTCCAGGTTTAGACTACGGCTTAAAGCGCACAGTCCTTAGTTAACCCTTAACTGGTCCCTTATAGTCAAGAGTCATTACCAAGCCAAAGTAAAGCTACACTGCAGAATTAAAAGAGTTTTTTATTTTTTCATCTTATAATTTTAATATGCAATATTTATATTTTATCAAGACGTATCAAAAAGTCATTAATTGTCAATTAATTTATCCACCAAAGAGACGAGACGATCAAATGAATCCACATTCAGTTGTGTAGCCTAGCTGTTATTGGTGTATAATCCAAACGTGATATTTGGACAGCAGGTTTTAGTTTTAAGATTTTAAACACCGTAAGAACAAAACAATGAATCTCATGATAATGTCATCACGATCACATGCCACATTTAGCCTACCTCAGAAATGATTGTGAGGGTCAGATGACCCATGAAATCAATGTCTCTTGTAGTTCCTTGAAAACCTGCTTTTCGTTTAAAAAAATTCATTAGGATAATCTTGAGCCACACACATTTATAATTTCCAGAATTTAAGCCAAGTTATCCAGGCTCATCTCTTTGCTTAAGAGCTCTCCAGTCGATGAAGATACTTCACTTAGGCAGCCTAATTAGTGATTTTTGTCCTCGTTCAATTGCCTCTGTCTCCGTTGTGCATCCTTAATGCACATGGTAATTGTAGGCCTACCTGTATAAAAACCTGATTAGCTTCACACTGATCAATAATCTGATTTCTTCCAGGACATGTGATGTAAACATAGGCTATAATAGGCCTATATATTTGGGCATGTCAGTAGGTAACATATATAATATAACATATAGGCTATCTAAAATATTTTGGGGTGTTTTCACTGCAAAATTCCTCATCTGTTTGATTGTGTAGGCTACGCCACGTGCATAAGCTCTTTGCTTGCAAACCGCTGAATTCAGCTGCGGGGGGAGGACGGATGACTTGGATCATCCAATTTAAGGCTATCACAATAACAGAGCTGCTACACTGTAGTAGTAGAGAGCTAATGCCACAATCCACGACATAAAACCTGCGAATTTACCCTCAGACATCAGCGCACGCAGCAGAATAGCCCTTAATGCGAGGCATTCTGAGTCCCCCATTTCCATCAAGCTCTCATGACTGCAGAATTGCCGCGGACTGCAAGTTATCAAGAGGCACTAATTTCACATTAAAGACCATTGACTGCAGTGGCTTGATTCGAGGGTTTGCGACAATTAACACAATCAGAATCGGAGCCCAGATCGTTTACCTTGACTCCGTAATTATTTTTTTGGCCGAGCGCGCTAACATTTGCAAAATTGCAGGCGGTGTCAAAAACCGAGAAGAGAGAGGATGCAGCGCGTTTTTTATAAAACCACTGTCTCCAAACACACAGAGAATAATGAAACAGAAAAAGAATACAGTCAGAAATATATTAGACTGTTTATTAATTATTAGATACTGATATTATATATATTAGAACCGATTTTAAACGGTTTAAATTAGGTGTCAGCGTTTATGTTGTACCTTTTAAAATTCACATCGACTTGAGATTAATGTTGATAGTGATCATTAAAATAAATAGACTACATTCTGTGTGCATGATCAAAAACTATCACGAAAATAGACTCCTTTTGCAACGTTTAAGAAGCTGTTAAATTTCTTATTAACGGCATTTCCTAACTCCAATAAAACCGTGACAGCACTATAGCCTATTTTCCTAACAACTGAAAATTCACAACGTTATAAACTAGTAGTAAAATTTATATTTCATAAAAAAAGGCCATCACATAGGCTGCTTGCAAACCGCTGAATTCAGCTGCGGGGGGAGGACGGATGACTTGGATCATCCAATTTAAGGCTATCACAATAACAGAGCTGCTACACTGTAGTAGTAGAGAGCTAATGCCACAATCCACGACATAAAACCTGCGAATTTACCCTCAGACATCAGCGCACGCAGCAGAATAGCCCTTAATGCGAGGCATTCTGAGTCCCCCATTTCCATCAAGCTCTCATGACTGCAGAATTGCCGCGGACTGCAAGTTATCAAGAGGCACTAATTTCACATTAAAGACCATTGACTGCAGTGGCTTGATTCGAGGGTTTGCGACAATTAACACAATCAGAATCGGAGCCCAGATCGTTTACCTTGACTCCGTAATTATTTTTTTGGCCGAGCGCGCTAACATTTGCAAAATTGCAGGCGGTGTCAAAAACCGAGAAGAGAGAGGATGCAGCGCGTTTTTTATAAAACCACTGTCTCCAAACACACAGAGAATAATGAAACAGAAAAAGAATACAGTCAGAAATATATTAGACTGTTTATTAATTATTAGATACTGATATTATATATATTAGAACCGATTTTAAACGGTTTAAATTAGGTGTCAGCGTTTATGTTGTACCTTTTAAAATTCACATCGACTTGAGATTAATGTTGATAGTGATCATTAAAATAAATAGACTACATTCTGTGTGCATGATCAAAAACTATCACGAAAATAGACTCCTTTTGCAACGTTTAAGAAGCTGTTAAATTTCTTATTAACGGCATTTCCTAACTCCAATAAAACCGTGACAGCACTATAGCCTATTTTCCTAACAACTGAAAATTCACAACGTTATAAACTAGTAGTAAAATTTATATTTCATAAAAAAAGGCCATCACATAGGCTATATTTTACGTTAAATAGATGGGCAGGGGTATCATTGACCCTATTCAGCTTTTTCTATAATAATTCAGTGCAACATGCAGAAATTCAACTCTTTAAGTAGAAACGTAAATCTGTCTAAATTCAAGCAAAATTGTTTAAGTTGAATAGTAAATTGTAAACAAAACAACTGGAAATGGCTGAAACCATATTACAGGTGCACTTGACTTATCATTTGAAATCCCGTGCATCGCGAGATTACTCTTGCCATGTGACCGAGACGTCGGGAAAGGAAAGAAAACAGGAAGCTGTTTAGAGTCGCAAAGCGCAAAGCGGCAGCGTGCTGTGTTTGGAGTGTATAAGATATGGATTTGTTAACAACATTTACATTTGTAATGGTATGCTGGGCTGTTACATTCATTACCGTTGCTGACTGCTCGGTTTACCCATCAGAGATGAGTGGCGATAGCGCACGAAAGCTGCCATCAGCAGTCATCCCTGTATCGCAGGCGAGCGCTTTGGGATCCTTCTACTCTCTCAGTCTTTCATCTACATTTCCAGAGGACTTGGAAATGAACGAGTATTGCATTGAACTGCTTCGCATCTACCGTCAGCGTTACGTGACTTACGCGAACTGCCTGGTGACTTATGCGCGACCTGTCAGAGTCTGTCAGAACTGTTACACTGGCTTCAACAGTCTGGAGGACATTTATAAAAACATATCATCTGACCAAGTAGGTGCTCATTCCAAGTCGAAATGTCCATTTATAACACCAAAGTGCCTATAAATGTTCTCGCATGGTTTGAAGGTTGACAGAATTCCCACCCGCTGGTCACATGCACTCATGTCTCGTGATTGTGTGTGTTCACTGTTTCACAAAGCCCGAATCACACTGACTGGAATATTTTAGTATGCTTAAAGAGCTATTTGTAGTATAACTATTTAAATAGTTACATGTCAGTATCATGTCATTGTACCTTTTAAAATGAACAAATTTAACACCTATGCTGGTTAGTAGGCTTTTTTTGTCGTTTTACGCGTTATTATAAAATCAGTTATGAACTGCAGCTGTAGACGTTAATGAAAAATGCTTAATAACTTGTGATTGTGTGTTGTCTTCATAGCCTGGCCCTGGAAATGTCAGTTGCCATGACAGCCTGATGCGTTCTGATAGGCTGATGCTGCTCTATGCCCTCTTCAGCAAATTAGATGAGATATGGACATCAGCAGAATGCAAGCGTAAGTAACATAGCCAGAAATATTGTAGGTTCATTTAAAACTGGCATTTGACTGTATGCTTCCCTTCTCTGCATGACTGCAGAATTGCCGCGGACTGCAAGTTATCAAGAGGCACTAATTTCACATTAAAGACCATTGACTGCAGTGGCTTGATTCGAGGGTTTGCGACAATTAACACAATCAGAATCGGAGCCCAGATCGTTTACCTTGACTCCGTAATTATTTTTTTGGCCGAGCGCGCTAACATTTGCAAAATTGCAGGCGGTGTCAAAAACCGAGAAGAGAGAGGATGCAGCGCGTTTTTTATAAAACCACTGTCTCCAAACACACAGAGAATAATGAAACAGAAAAAGAATACAGTCAGAAATATATTAGACTGTTTATTAATTATTAGATACTGATATTATATATATTAGAACCGATTTTAAACGGTTTAAATTAGGTGTCAGCGTTTATGTTGTACCTTTTAAAATTCACATCGACTTGAGATTAATGTTGATAGTGATCATTAAAATAAATAGACTACATTCTGTGTGCATGATCAAAAACTATCACGAAAATAGACTCCTTTTGCAACGTTTAAGAAGCTGTTAAATTTCTTATTAACGGCATTTCCTAACTCCAATAAAACCGTGACAGCACTATAGCCTATTTTCCTAACAACTGAAAATTCACAACGTTATAAACTAGTAGTAAAATTTATATTTCATAAAAAAAGGCCATCACATAGGCTATATTTTACGTTAAATAGATGGGCAGGGGTATCATTGACCCTATTCAGCTTTTTCTATAATAATTCAGTGCAACATGCAGAAATTCAACTCTTTAAGTAGAAACGTAAATCTGTCTAAATTCAAGCAAAATTGTTTAAGTTGAATAGTAAATTGTAAACAAAACAACTGGAAATGGCTGAAACCATATTACAGGTGCACTTGACTTATCATTTGAAATCCCGTGCATCGCGAGATTACTCTTGCCATGTGACCGAGACGTCGGGAAAGGAAAGAAAACAGGAAGCTGTTTAGAGTCGCAAAGCGCAAAGCGGCAGCGTGCTGTGTTTGGAGTGTATAAGATATGGATTTGTTAACAACATTTACATTTGTAATGGTATGCTGGGCTGTTACATTCATTACCGTTGCTGACTGCTCGGTTTACCCATCAGAGATGAGTGGCGATAGCGCACGAAAGCTGCCATCAGCAGTCATCCCTGTATCGCAGGCGAGCGCTTTGGGATCCTTCTACTCTCTCAGTCTTTCATCTACATTTCCAGAGGACTTGGAAATGAACGAGTATTGCATTGAACTGCTTCGCATCTACCGTCAGCGTTACGTGACTTACGCGAACTGCCTGGTGACTTATGCGCGACCTGTCAGAGTCTGTCAGAACTGTTACACTGGCTTCAACAGTCTGGAGGACATTTATAAAAACATATCATCTGACCAAGTAGGTGCTCATTCCAAGTCGAAATGTCCATTTATAACACCAAAGTGCCTATAAATGTTCTCGCATGGTTTGAAGGTTGACAGAATTCCCACCCGCTGGTCACATGCACTCATGTCTCGTGATTGTGTGTGTTCACTGTGTTTCACCAAGCCGGAATCACACTGACTGGAATATTTTAGTATGCTTAAAGAGCTATTTGTAGTATAACTATTTAAATAGTTACATGTCAGTATCATGTCATTGTACCTTTTAAAATGAACAAATTTAACACCTATGCTGGTTAGTAGGCTTTTTTTGTCGTTTTACGCGTTATTATAAAATCAGTTATGAACTGCAGCTGTAGACGTTAATGAAAAATGCTTAATAACTTGTGATTGTGTGTTGTCTTCATAGCCTGGCCCTGGAAATGTCAGTTGCCATGACAGCCTGATGCGTTCTGATAGGCTGATGCTGCTCTATGCCCTCTTCAGCAAATTAGATGAGATATGGACATCAGCAGAATGCAAGCGTAAGTAACATAGCCAGAAATATTGTAGGTTCATTTAAAACTGGCATTTGACTGTATGCTTCCCTTCTCTGGTGCTCTTCGGTCACTTTTGACCGAAAAAATTTCTGTTTTGAATTTTTAAAACTCACAGCTTCATTGGAATGGTACGAAGCTTGGTGACTTTTATGGCATTTGGAATGTGAACACACAAAAAAAAATTGAGGGCATGGTTTGAGCAGACGAAGTGGTCATAAAAAAATAGTCACACTTGTGGTTTTCGGTCAAAAATGACCGACCATAGGAAATGAATGGGAAATCGACAAAAACATGTACAATCTACAAATCTGACACAATGCAGAAAAAAAGTACACAGCAATGACGGGGTGAAACTCTAAAACATCAGGAGTGCAAAACCAACACATCCACTCACACACACACACGTACACACACACACTTGTACACACACACACCTATGAACAGGTGTGACTGTAACACAGCAAATATGTAAAATAAAAGCAATAATTCAACTACAATGCAGTAAAAAAGCGGACAACAAGGAAGGGGTTACACTCTAAAACATCAAGAGTGCCAAACAGACACACTCACTCAAACCAACACTCACAGACACACACTCACAGACACACACAAACATACACAATTATACACACTCAAATGAATTGGTATGGCTATAACCATATAGCCAAAACAAGTCAGAAAACTGAAAAAAGAGGTTGAAATCAGATCAAACCCAGAAGGATTAAGCTCTGATAAAACATTTCTGTACATTTTTGTTACATTTTTATAGAATTTTAATGATTTGTGTAACAAAATGCTTTCTCTGTGTTCAGGTTTGACTGTAGTAATACTAATTCAAAAACTGACGCTTCAAATCAATATTTCAAACCAAAAAAAATCTAAACCTTTACAAAAAGTTGTCTTTGAGAATGTCTAAATATATATCCAAGCCCACAACTTAATAAAAATAAGTATTTATGTCTAAAACAATTAGAGAATTTATAGGCCTTTTATATAGAGCTATATAGAAATATATGGGCTAAACCATGGAATTGCAGAAGTTTTTCTTATTTTACTCCCACCAGATGGCACTAATCTGGCTTCAAAAATGGGATTTTAAAGGCATTGACTCTATTTTAACATGAAATACTGCATTCATTGAAAAGTAATATAAAAATATATTAAACACTTTTTTTTATTGTTTTTAATGGGCAGAAATTCATCATAATAATTGCATCAATATTAATTAGTGCCATGAAATTATGTAAAAAAAAATCATTACTGAACAAAAGTATAGTACATTGATTTTACTGGGGTGAAAAAAAAGTTAAATTTCAGGTGTCCGGTCACTTTTGACCGTGAAGATCACAAGTGTGATTCCCAAACGAGGAGCACCAGAGGGTTAAGCATGTTTCTTTCATTTTCACTCTTAACCAGATTATATACTTAACACCACTTGTGGTAGTATGAAGAAATTCAGCCAGTTTTTGAGTAACATTATTTGTTTTTATTTCATTTATTGAATGTTATGATTATTTGGAGAATAATTCTAATTTTTTTGCTCATTAGAATGTCTGACTGAAGATCAAGAGGCTCTTTCCAATGATACTGTTTTCTTCATGGCCACTCTGAATCAGTCACTCTCCTGTTTTGAACAATATCAGGTAATATCAGATGGCTCATATAGATAGGTACAAGCTCAGTTAAAACAAATTACTTGAGTATCCTGTTTTCTTAATAGAAGAACCACACTGAACTGTGTAAAGACTGCAAAGCCTCGTACAAAAGGTTGAAAGAGCTCTATGGTAGAATGGACAAAAACCAAACACTCTGCATTGATTTAGAAGACGCAGTAAGTATGCACTAATATACACAAACCCTGTCATTTGACTCAAACACATTCCTAAGTTATTTGCAAATAAAGTTTTATGATGTGGAATTTTGGGAGAGTTGTAAAACGGCACCCTCTGTAGCCCTAAATCTGTACAAACTAAATGCTGGAATACACCACACGACTTTTGTACATGTTTAATATTTTGAGCCAATTTTAAAACACATTATTTTAATTTGTCACTTAGCTCCTAACATCGAAGCACATGTTTCTGTGTGAGTTTGTTGTTTTCAGAGCATCCTAAAAGTCTGGTAGTATGTGAGCCTCAGTCATTTAGTGTATGATGCCCAGTTTTCCTCTGTAACCATTTACAATGTCGGCAAGTGTATGATGCCTAGTGTTTTACAAGCTGATCAGATTGTAAAGGAATGGTTCAGATTTGGATAAATTTAGCATTACATCACTTTGCTCACTAATAGATCCTCTTAAAGGTTTAGTTCACCCAAAATTTGAAAATTCTGGATTCTGAAGATTCATCTACAAGAAATTTCCAGTCCATCAATTAATGTCTTGTGAAGCAAAAAGGTGCATGTCCATAATACAGTACATGATAATGCTTCCTCCAGTAAAAAAAAAAGTCCATCCTCACATTAAAATCCACTGACATATTGTTTAGAACTGTTTTCACTTGTAAGCAGTGCTTGATTTTTGCATATTTCTCTCCTGATTCAAATGAGACTACTTTTTCACCGGAGAAAGCAATATTATGGGTAGAGGACTCGTATTTTAGCCAGAAGCAATAGTTTGAAGTTAAAAAAAATCTTAATGTTGGGTTTGTTTCTTACAAACACGCAGCTTTTCATGGGACATTAATTATTGGGGACTGGGGTCATGTGGATTACTTGTGGGTAACTGTAATGCTCTTAGGGGGAAGTCGTGGCCTAATGGTTAGAGAGTCGGACTCGTAACCCAAAGGTTGTGGGTTCGAGTCTCGTACCGGCAGGGATTGTAGGTGGGGGGAGTGAATGTAAAGCGCTCTCTCCCACCTTCAATACCACGACTGAGGTGCCCTTGAGCAAGGCACCGAACCCCCAACTGCTCCCCGGGCGCCGCAGCATAAATGGCTGCCCACTGCTCTGGTGTGTGTTCACTGCTGTGTGTGTGCACTTTGGATGGGTTAAATGCAGAGCACTAATTCCAAGTATGGGTCACCATACTAAGTATGGGCCACATGTCACGTCACTTATCAGCTGTTTTGACTCTCATTCTGACAGCACCCATTCACTGCAGAGGATCCATTGGTGATGGCAAATTTTCATTTTTGGATGAACTATTCCTTTAAAAGTGGTGTAGTGTATTCCAGACAGTAGCAACACCAAGGTCATGGGTTTTATTCCCAGGGAATTCATTAAAATCCATTATAAAGTGTATACCTAATATGCATTGTAATTTTCCTTTGGATAAAATCATAAAATCAACTGCCAAACACATTAATGTAATGTAACACACATTTTTTGGTACAATGTATTTTAGAATTTTTTTTTGTGTATTATTGACCTTAAATGTCTTATATAGCTTCTTGTTAATTGTATGACTTTTGTTATTTATTCTGTTTTCACTATGAAGATGTTGGCATTAAAAAACAAATAAATTAATAATTTTTTGTTGGTACAGTGTGAACCAGCCTTAATGGTAGCAGATTATGATAGAACTATCAGATTTGTGGTATCATTACGTTGCTTACTTCTCAGATGAATATAACACAGCAGCTGTGGAGTAAAAACTTTAGTTGCTTGTTACCTCGGGAGGAGACGGTGCCTGTCATCGCAGTGTCCAGCTTTATGCTCTTCCTCCCCATAATCTTCTACTTAAGCAGCTTCCTGCACTCGGAACAAAAGAAACGCAAGCTTATACACCGTAAGTAACTTGCCAATTGTCTCTGCAGTAAGTTGAAGTAAAAGGGCAGAGGTCTTGGACAGTGTTAATTGTACTCGCTTGATCCGTACTGCTTAGGTTTTATTGTCAATCACTTTCAGACAGTATTTAACCAAGTAGTCTCAGACATTACTAGTTTTTGCATCTTTTAAAGCATATAGAACACAAAGTGCATTCTAAATGCTCTGAGCAAAGTCTCTGATGTCAAGGTTAAACTGCATTGAATATTTTGTTGGATCTCTTGCCAGTCTAGTTCTAATCTATTCTCTTATTCTGATCCACAGCCAAAAGAGCCAAGTCCAACAACAGCCTAATGAATATCCAAGATAAATTCAGCTGAGTGGAGATGAGGCGAGGAGGGGAAGAGAGGACACTGAATCTTTGGTTCACCTCTCCCGCTAAATCAACAGGCACTTTCAGCATGGATGGGTAGGGTTCACGTCTTCTCCTGGACCAAAGACTTTATGATGCTCTACAGATGCTGTGATCATTTTTTTTTTTGCACTATTTGTAATTTGCACTATTGATTTAAAATAGCCAATTGCAAGTTTTACTTTTTTTTTTTTTTTGCTTAGCTTTAAAAATAAGATAATTCTACTGGTTTTCACAGAGGATCAGTGATGATTTCCATAATTACGATGCATGTTAGTATGACATTATTGTATTTAAGGCATGAAAGACATATGATCCCGACATTAGACTGGTTATGCTACAATTTTACTGCACTGAGACCATGTTACATTTGATATTTTTCTAGGTAATAACAAATGTGCACATACACACACACGCACACACTACATGGCAATGGTACCACTTCTGGAAGCACTTCATGTGCATTAGAGAAAGATCTTGTAACAAATACTTTATTCAGGGTCAAAGGTGTATGCAGTGAGTAGAGTAGAAAGTAAAGGATGGAAGAGGCAACATGAAGCCTTTTTAGATGGTCCATGTGCCTTTTTACTTCACTTTTTGTTTTACAATGGATTTGCCATGGTCTACCCTCATTGTGTGGTTATATACTCTACTGTCAGATATTTGATGATCACAGACCAGTTATTCTGAAAGAAATAGGAAAGCTTCATTAATAGTGATACATCAGAGAGATCTTTTATTTTCTGTACTCGGATGTTGACCATAGCATTATATGAAGTAAAGTGTTATTTTGTTTACTCTGAATGCAGTATGGTTTATTCATAGGATCTTTGCATACTTCTATAGTTGTGAAATAGTTTTCAATTCAGTAGCTTCCTCATACCTCTATTAAAATATGTTAATTTTGCTTAACTCTTAAAGCCTTCCTTGGTGCAGTTGACAGGCTCATTGTTTTCAGAGTTACGTGGACTTTCCATGGATTACAAAGAGCCTGTTTCCCCAGTCATTAGCAGCTAATCTAAATGTAGGATAAAGTTACTTGGCCGAATAATTGTAACAACACATCTGTTTAAGCTGCATTGGCTTTTTGGTCTTATGGAGCCAAGCCATTGCCTATCACACTGCCTGTTAAGCGCATTTTGTTTGATTTATCCAATCATATGATCATACAGGAAGATATTGGGAAAAATAGCCTTTTCATTTGTGGCTCATGAGTGCAATGTCTAACAAGAATGACAGCTTTCATTCCTGCAATGCCAGATCCGTTGGTGAAAGTCATTACTCCAGACCTGAATTTTATGGCCACGTGTTCGAGGAACTGACGCAAAACCTGAAATACCATTTGAGATGTGTGATCCGAGCCTTACTTTACCTGACAAGAACCTTAGAGAGGATGAGGGGAAACTGGTGGGGGATATGAGATTATCCCACATCACGTTTTGCCCTGGTAAGAATCGGAGCAGTGACTTTGGACCTTAAGCAGTGAGCCCATTATGAAATATCCCTGAGCCTGAAACTCAGCAGGGACTGATCCAACAAACCTTTAAAGTAGCTGCTGCTTTGTTTAAAAGTTGCCATTAGGATTTTGGATGAGCTGTCATTATAAATGAAATCATTTTTGTGTGTTGATTAATGATTGCTTTGTGCTCTTTTAGAAGAACTCCCATACTAACAAAAAGTCTGATTGTATTTTCACGTTTTGTAAGGCTGTAATTTTATTAAGAATAATAAAAAGATAATTGATTCTAAAAGTGTTTCATTGTATATTTGTTATTTATTCATTTTTCATATGTATAGTTTATTACAGTAGCAACACCAAGGTCATGGGTTTTATTCCCAGGGAATTCATTAAAATCCATTATAAAGTGTATACCTAATATGCATTGTAATTTTCCTTTGGATAAAATCATAAAATCAACTGCCAAACACATTAATGTAATGTAACACACATTTTTTGGTACAATGTATTTTAGAATTTTTTTTTGTGTATTATTGACCTTAAATGTCTTATATAGCTTCTTGTTAATTGTATGACTTTTGTTATTTATTCTGTTTTCACTATGAAGATGTTGGCATTAAAAAACAAATAAATTAATAATTTTTTGTTGGTACAGTGTGAACCAGCCTTAATGGTAGCAGATTATGATAGAACTATCAGATTTGTGGTATCATTACGTTGCTTACTTCTCAGATGAATATAACACAGCAGCTGTGGAGTAAAAACTTTAGTTGCTTGTTACCTCGGGAGGAGACGGTGCCTGTCATCGCAGTGTCCAGCTTTATGCTCTTCCTCCCCATAATCTTCTACTTAAGCAGCTTCCTGCACTCGGAACAAAAGAAACGCAAGCTTATACACCGTAAGTAACTTGCCAATTGTCTCTGCAGTAAGTTGAAGTAAAAGGGCAGAGGTCTTGGACAGTGTTAATTGTACTCGCTTGATCCGTACTGCTTAGGTTTTATTGTCAATCACTTTCAGACAGTATTTAACCAAGTAGTCTCAGACATTACTAGTTTTTGCATCTTTTAAAGCATATAGAACACAAAGTGCATTCTAAATGCTCTGAGCAAAGTCTCTGATGTCAAGGTTAAACTGCATTGAATATTTTGTTGGATCTCTTGCCAGTCTAGTTCTAATCTATTCTCTTATTCTGATCCACAGCCAAAAGAGCCAAGTCCAACAACAGCCTAATGAATATCCAAGATAAATTCAGCTGAGTGGAGATGAGGCGAGGAGGGGAAGAGAGGACACTGAATCTTTGGTTCACCTCTCCCGCTAAATCAACAGGCACTTTCAGCATGGATGGGTAGGGTTCACGTCTTCTCCTGGACCAAAGACTTTATGATGCTCTACAGATGCTGTGATCATTTTTTTTTTTGCACTATTTGTAATTTGCACTATTGATTTAAAATAGCCAATTGCAAGTTTTTCTTTTTTTTTTTTTTTGCTTAGCTTTAAAAATAAGATAATTCTACTGGTTTTCACAGAGGATCAGTGATGATTTCCATAATTACGATGCATGTTAGTATGACATTATTGTATTTAAGGCATGAAAGACATATGATCCCGACATTAGACTGGTTATGCTACAATTTTACTGCACTGAGACCATGTTACATTTGATATTTTTCTAGGTAATAACAAATGTGCACATACACACACACGCACACACTACATGGCAATGGTACCACTTCTGGAAGCACTTCATGTGCATTAGAGAAAGATCTTGTAACAAATACTTTATTCAGGGTCAAAGGTGTATGCAGTGAGTAGAGTAGAAAGTAAAGGATGGAAGAGGCAACATGAAGCCTTTTTAGATGGTCCATGTGCCTTTTTACTTCACTTTTTGTTTTACAATGGATTTGCCATGGTCTACCCTCATTGTGTGGTTATATACTCTACTGTCAGATATTTGATGATCACAGACCAGTTATTCTGAAAGAAATAGGAAAGCTTCATTAATAGTGATACATCAGAGAGATCTTTTATTTTCTGTACTCGGATGTTGACCATAGCATTATATGAAGTAAAGTGTTATTTTGTTTACTCTGAATGCAGTATGGTTTATTCATAGGATCTTTGCATACTTCTATAGTTGTGAAATAGTTTTCAATTCAGTAGCTTCCTCATACCTCTATTAAAATATGTTAATTTTGCTTAACTCTTAAAGCCTTCCTTGGTGCAGTTGACAGGCTCATTGTTTTCAGAGTTACGTGGACTTTCCATGGATTACAAAGAGCCTGTTTCCCCAGTCATTAGCAGCTAATCTAAATGTAGGATAAAGTTACTTGGCCGAATAATTGTAACAACACATCTGTTTAAGCTGCATTGGCTTTTTGGTCTTATGGAGCCAAGCCATTGCCTATCACACTGCCTGTTAAGCGCATTTTGTTTGATTTATCCAATCATATGATCATACAGGAAGATATTGGGAAAAATAGCCTTTTCATTTGTGGCTCATGAGTGCAATGTCTAACAAGAATGACAGCTTTCATTCCTGCAATGCCAGATCCGTTGGTGAAAGTCATTACTCCAGACCTGAATTTTATGGCCACGTGTTCGAGGAACTGACGCAAAACCTGAAATACCATTTGAGATGTGTGATCCGAGCCTTACTTTACCTGACAAGAACCTTAGAGAGGATGAGGGGAAACTGGTGGGGGATATGAGATTATCCCACATCACGTTTTGCCCTGGTAAGAATCGGAGCAGTGACTTTGGACCTTAAGCAGTGAGCCCATTATGAAATATCCCTGAGCCTGAAACTCAGCAGGGACTGATCCAACAAACCTTTAAAGTAGCTGCTGCTTTGTTTAAAAGTTGCCATTAGGATTTTGGATGAGCTGTCATTATAAATGAAATCATTTTTGTGTGTTGATTAATGATTGCTTTGTGCTCTTTTAGAAGAACTCCCATACTAACAAAAAGTCTGATTGTATTTTCACGTTTTGTAAGGCTGTAATTTTATTAAGAATAATAAAAAGATAATTGATTCTAAAAGTGTTTCATTGTATATTTGTTATTTATTCATTTTTCATATGTATAGTTTATTAAGCATATATTGTATACGGCATGTTTAGCCATAAAGTTGAGTTCTTAAGCAATTCATAAAAAAAACCCTCTGGCTTTCCAAGCACCGTAAATCTACCCAAAAGAGCTTTAATAGGAATTGACTGAGAAAATCATTTTCATTTGTTCATTTGGAAAATTTAATTTTGTAATTTGATTCAATGTCAGTCACCCTCTGCCTTGTAATTATTCAAATTCTTTCAATATTGCTTGACAGTTGTTTGTAAGGAAACAATATGACATTGACTGCATATGCCATCACAAGTTATTTTGTTTATTATTTGTCAAAATTAATACAAGTTAGATCAAATATTGCAAAACATGACATTTAACCTATCATGTTATGGTCAAGTATTATGTTGGGGGGGAAAATCCCAAAGGATAATGGATAATCATCTCATGTTTTAGACCGCAAACAAAAGTATGCAGTGTTCATCAGTTAGCTGATACAACTTTGATTAGTAGCAATATCATAATAAATATACTACTATTTTTATATAATAATACTATCTGGGATATAAGTGAGATCACAAAATAAATTGACTTATCAAATTTGTATCTCTTTCTCATTCATCCTTTCTTCATTTCTGTAATTTAATCATCCTTTGAGGTTCCTGTATATAAATCAGCTGTCATCAATCACACATACTTTCTGTGTAATTCTGGTAGTTATACAAACCTTATAAAGCTGCCAATTAGCTAAAGCTGAATATGGTGCGTTGTTGAAGAAATATAGCTTTATAATTAGAGAATTCTCACTTGAGAGCCAACGTGTTTGCTGAATGAAAGGGGCCATTATGACCTCATTAGGGTCAAAGTCTGAAGATTATGGTATTATGATAGATTATAGAATCACTTAATCACAGTGGTCACTTAGCACTGCTGATGGCTACAGAGCTCTCTGTTCCAGCCTCCATTTGTTGTTGATCATTCTAAAATGTTCCACCCCATTACAAAGGTCGTATGAGAGGTCAGCTGGAGGAGACATTGCAGATGCTGATTGATGTGTCAGAAACCTAAGGTGGATGACTTCTGTGTCCCGTTGCTTCTTTTAATAAGACAACAGGATCACAATTGGCAAGGCTTACACAGACCCTAGGGGGTCTGTCAGAATAAGAGCTTTTGAAATAAGGGGCTATGGCATAAGGGCAGAAACATCTGACCCTGTTGGGCACCCTGCCCACTCATCTTTGGATACAGTGTAAGGCCCATCAGCTGGATAAGACGGTTATAAAGCCTCTTGACTAGAATAATATATTTCAGGGAGGCAATAGGTGGCCACTGTGGTGCTTCATCTTCATCAATGATGAGCTGCATTCAATACTATTTCTAAAATGAGTTTGGCATCTTAGCTAAGTACAATATAACAGGATAAAATAAATCATTTGTTTCACCAATAAGCCTATATATTCATGGTCATGATGTGACAAATCAATTCAAGATGCTATTTTTTTTTTACTCTCAAACGTTTTCTAATGAAAATGTTTGTTCACTCTCTATTTCGTATTCATACTGAACAATTTTACAATTGTATATTATCTGAAAACGTCAGTTAAGAAAGAAAATAGTCAAGCACGAGCAACAATATTACAGTAATATTAATGTTTAATTTACCCGGACGAACTGTCTAATTTTCAGCATAGCCATGAATGAAAATATTTGAATGTTAAGTAGCTATTCGAGCCTCATAATAAATTGTTAACATGCAAATATTCTACTTTTAGGTTTCAAATGATTACATGTAAAATACATTAGGAGCATGACCACAAATATTAAATATTTATTGAACTGACCTTTATTTTACAATTTCTACAACTGTATATCCACTTGTACGAACTGTAAAAGTAAGTTTTTAAATAACCGTGTCACTCATTGTAAAAATAACATTTACTTAGTATATTTAGGCATGAAACAAAAGGAAATGTCACAGTCTTAATTTCGATGCAACTTGTTATAGTTGATTTTTATACAGATTTATGGCCTTGTAGTGCATAACCTCTATGTAATAATGTGTAAATTAAGATGAGGGGTTGTGACCTGCACAATTACTCCCTGCATATTTAACTCTGTCTGATTAACACAGGACGGTAAGAGCATCTCTCAAGACTGAAGTAAACAGTCTCATCACTGTAGCTCTTATTTGTTATTTTGTGCTGCCATCATCATTCAGGTCAATGGGATTGAAGAGGAAACGGCAAAGGTTATTGAGGAGGGTTTGAGCATGATCACTTCCTCTCATTTTATTCTCTCTCATATCAGCCTACACACTTGATCTTTTTCTCTCTTTTGTAAATTACATGGAATTTATTAACAGTTGAACCATACTGTCTACATGGAGATGAATCATACACCAGGTTCATAGTATTACTCTGGTGCCATCTATCGATAGAATATAATTTTAAGCCACAATTTTAAGCATTAAAGTTTATATGAGTGAATTAGTAGACTGAGACAAGATATGTTTTCATGCAAAAGAGGGCGACATTGCAACAGTCTGAATCCGGAAAGCATGGCGCTGGAAACATGTATTGCGTTTTTATTAGCAGACAGTTATGATGTTGAAGATTTCTTAATTTTCAAGAAAAATGCAAATCGCAAACGTCGGAAATTAAGGTGAAAAAACAGTATTCTGTATATCGTTCAGTTTCGTAAACAAACAGCATGGTGCCTGTTTTAATGCGCCGCTTATTTTATTTACTACAACTTGCAACTGTTTGACAATTGGAAATATTCCTTCAGTTGTCCAGCCTTTTGAAAATCCATCTTAAACTGGTGATATTTTGAAAAGTGGTTGCTGGTACCTTCAATGTACCAAACACAGCTCGATTATATATTTAGCTGTTGATTGAAGACCACTAATGGCCAGCTAGAAACCAGCAACCAAAAAGCTGTTTTTAGTTTCAGGAGTGAAAACCCAATGATGCAACTAATTCTTTTTATATTCATTTATATTTCAATAGAATGAAGCTGAAAACTGAACCAAGTGATAATCTGCAAAGGTAAGATGATCCACACATTATTTGATATTAGAAAGATACTGTTTATAATAAACATTAGATAAATGCTCTAACATTATTCTGTTTCATGTGTCAGAGAAGATGACAAAAAGAGATGTTTTCAATACCGTGCTGCAAAGCTTGAAAATAAGTGATTTTAAGAGTCACTTCCAGCTGACTCCAACTCAAACTGAGGTACTTTAGTTAATGCTGGTCCTATTTTCTGCTAATCTCATTTGTATTTTGTAAAACAAAATATTTTTTTGTGTGTGCGTTTGTAGGAGTTGGTACGGCTGTTGGCACCTTGGAAATGGACTGCCATTAGGCAAGAGGTATGGACAGTGTGGCATGCTGTGCTTGCTAGTCTGTGGGCTCTTTCTACCCAAGAGTCTTACCACAGTGTGGCAAACCGCTTTCACGTCACAGAGTCACTCGTTTGTGATCAGCTGGGTGAATTCTGCAACCTTGTTACCAGTATTTTGGCTAATGAAATTCACTGGCCACAAGGGGAGGAAGTAGAAATGTCTGTAGTGGGGTTCTTTTCTACTGTGGGGGTTATCAGATACTCTCTGTGTAGTAGGAACGTGTTTCATTCCTATTGAGAAACCTACCGATGTGCCAGATCCAGAGGTTTATAGAAACGCAGACGGGTTGTATGCTGTAAAACTCTTGGCTTTTTGCAACCACAAGGGTCATTTTACCTACGTGTCTGTCTGTAGAGCACCCTAGAAACGGGCATAACTCAAGAGTCCTGTCAGCCATGGATGTTGGCAAGGCATTGCAGAAAGACCCTGTGGCTCTGCTACATGGCAAACACATAATTGGCAATTCCACCTCTCCACTTTCAGAGCACTTTCTGACTCCATTCCCAGATTATGCAACAATAGGACAGAAAAAAGTATGTTATAACTGGAAAGTGCAGTCATCTCTTGCAGTGGCGCAGGGCTCAATCAGTACTCTGAGAAATACTTTTCAGAGCCTCAGATGTCTGCCAAGCCAGTTTAGCTGTGAAGACCTGCTGTATTTTATACAACATGTTCCTAGAAACATATAATGTGCCAGTGGACTGCATTGAGGACGATGTAGCCCAAAAACCTTTCCATGAACTACCCTACGGACACTCTGGAAGTCTTGGTGGAATATCTAAAAGACAAGACATCACAGCCTCACTTGGGCGAAACACTAAAAAAAGAAAATATGTACAAATAGACAAGTATTATCAAGTAATGTTGCATACGATTATGAATGCAATATGTTGACAAAATGTTCAAATTTAAATGATAAGGTGACTGTTTTGTTAATCACTGTAATATGTATATATTTTTGTTATGTGTACAACTATGTTGTAATATGTTGGAGTGATATCATAAAAATACTTAAGTTGAATTACAAAGTGAAGAAGGACACGTTTTTGTATAATAGGGATCTAAAGTTTTCATCTGCAAATTAAAACCAGGGTTTTCAACTAGGGGTCTGTGAGCAGATGTGTAAAACAGGATTTTCTGCTATGTATTCTATGCATTATTAATCCATTATGCATTATGGAATGTTAATTAGTTATAAATAAAAAATAATACAAAGTGCTATTTAAGTCAAGTCACCTTTATTTATATAGTGCTTTTAACAATACAGATTGTGTCAAAGCAACTGAACAGCATTAATTAGGAAAATAGTGTGTCAATAATGCAAAATGACAATAGTAAACACTCATTTTTCAGTTAAAGACAGTTCATCATTGAATTCAGTGGTCAACATCCAGCTCAGTTTAATACAGTTTAAATAGTATCTTTGCAATCATGTCAACGATATCGCTGGAAATGAAGTGTCCCCAACCAACTAAGCAAGCCAGAGGCGACATTTAAGTCTTTGGGTTGGCTAATAACCTGTGTGAGGGATCCCTAAATCTGTACAGGATGAAACCCCCTCTTTATTTGAAAGAAAAGAAAAGAAAAACTGCACCTAAATGTATGAATTGTGTAAAAACACGTACTACCGCAGAGCGCATGCGTAGAACACGTACACTGCTAGGCGCACAGATTTGTCGTGTCTCAGAGCGTCGACTGCAAGCGGCGGGACTTTATTAACACGCCATAATAAATGATAAAAAAAATGTCATTTTTTTTAAGCGTGGATATCTGATGATTCTTCATACTACCGGCAACCTGGTCGCAGTACAATAAAATAACATACGTTTTTAAAAAATAAACACCGATTTGTACACGACCAAAGTCTGGCGGTCAGTCTTAATAAAATAACACGAAAACCTTTTATTTTGAAAGCAGTCGCAATCGTGACAGAAAGTGCGTGACTGCTGGCTTCCTTCTCCAGCATAATATGTGACTAGTCCCACAGTGGGGCGACTGATAGGGCGGCAAGGCGGCTGAAAAAAACGGGGTTTAGAGCCGCTGCGAAATGGCTGGACAGCAGTTTCAGTACGACGACAGTGGCAACACCTTTTTCTATTTCCTCACGTCCTTTGTGGGATTAATAGTAATCCCAGCCACCTATTACCTCTGGCCCCGGGATCAGAATGCGGGTAAGGCCCCACATGCTAATACACTAACAGCTAAGCGGTTAACGTTATATGTCTCTTGAGGATCAGTACTGATCACTAGATTGCCACCTCTGTGAGGAACATTTTCTGACATTGCAGTATTCAATAAAACGAATACCTAGGTAAATCCATTAATGGCACTAATGGCTCGCCTGATTGTTGATACGTAACGTTAGCAGTAGCAGCTGACCCCCACTCAGCTCAACTAACGTTACACTAGATGAGATCTTTCCAGTATTTGAAGTGGCAGTTATGGATCTTAACGCAGATACTTTTAAAGAAGACTTTTCAGGTTAAATGTCTGTTTGAGCGTTGCTACCATCACATTAACCTACGTTAAATGTACTGGTCATCTGTTTAATGTATGCTTTTTTTTTCGTATGTCCTCGTTTGTTTATATTGACAAACACATTGCTTTAAGATCAGTTGATCTGTTCATATAATGGTCGTCATTGAGCATTAATTGTTTCTTTCCAGTCTGCATGGCATTCACTGCCACTCATTTTTCAGCATGTGTTATGAAATGTTGCAAAGGTATCTGCTTATTTCGTTGTTCATGGTGGTATATGCACGTTCTTGTTAATTGTACTCTTTATTGAACTGCACTTTTGCATACTGTTTACATGCACTAGATCGACATGCTATTAAATTGTAAGTCAGTCGAAGTTGATCAAATTCACAATAAATAAACCCATATTTGCAAACAATGGTTTGTCGATTGTGCAGGCTACAATGGAACTAAAAGACAAATTTAGAATGAATGCAATACAAATTAACACTTAACAAGAAATACAATATGTTAATAAATTAATATTTGTATATAAAAGTACAAATATCTGTATTAAACAGTGCAGATTTTCAGTTGTGCAAACAAGTATGCAGTGTGCACAGTAACACATTTATACAAGAAAGGTTCATAGGTTTTTATAGTCCATTATGGCTCAATATTTTCCTATCAGACTGAAAACCCTAAAGATGGTTTTAATGTACACAAATCATTGTCCTCTGTTTATTCTGTTATATAACAATAACATTTTTGCATATTTTGAGGCAGCTTTTGTAATCTGGCTCTCAGTGTAAGAGAGGCACACAGGGTCACATTCAGATAGATAAAAAAGGTTTGCAGTACCTCACTAACTAACTAAAGTAACAGTACTACCATGCTTTTTGAATGTTAATACTATTACTTTATATAATTTGCTATCAAAAGCTATTACTGTACAATGGCACTGTACTGTTTTGGCAGGATCTGTATGTTTGCATGGTGGGTGTGAGTTAGATTGCACATTGCTGCTTTTTTTTTCTCATTGTTGTCTGTTATGTAAATTAATTCACAGAGCAGTTAAGGTTGAAGAGTTTACGACGAGTTCATGGAAGATGTCTGTGGTATCGCCTTCGGCATATGAAATCACAGCAGAGCATTGTTCCAACACTTAAGTAAGTGATTATGTTTGTGTGAAATTAGTAAAAGGCATTACAGGGGACTTAATCTCATTTATCTTATTGCTCCTACTGTTATTATGACACACTGCACTTGTGTCCTGTCTGTTTGCTGTTTGTAAACATTTAGTTTTTAACATGCACAAATCTTTGTAATTTTTAGTAGGTTTCTGGAGTTGTGTATATTCAGTGTGCACTGTGGGGAACAAAATTAATTGGACATCAGCATCTTTTTAAAAAGATGCAAAATGCTAAAATATTTAATTTGCTTTTTATGCATGTTAAGTATATTAAAGGATATAAAAAGCATATTTTGTATTAATTGTTAACATGTATTAAGTAGGGTTGAGTACCGAACTCCGTACTTTTAAGGGTACCGACCGAATTGCGTCGGCACTACCGAGTACCGATTCACGTTAAATCAATCGGTGCTAAATTTTGGTACTTGAGAATGCATCTGGGCGCGTACGCTACAGAGAGAGAAAGAGAGACCCTGTGATGGGATGTCACCCCTGCAACTCATTCAAACAACACACAGGGCAAGCCGAAATGTTGTGAAGTGTGGTAACATTTCTAGGGCCATATGGTTTCTGCGAAAACGCGGACAGGATCGTGGAGTTCATTCATAAAAAACGTAATTTACTCTATAGCGTGGAATGCCACGGGATTCTTCAATTTTGGACGAATAAATCAAAAGTAGCCACTGCCACTTAATTCGAATTGCGATATGAACTAGTGTATGTGAATATTAAAATGCAAAAAGATGGTTTAAATATGAATCCTGCATGTTCCGCTTGCCTCTGTATGTATGAATGGCGGAAACGCGGTTTTGTTTACTACACAAATACTGAAGCACGCGTGACGCTCGCAGTGATTTTTGGCCTCTGCGTCTCACTATATGACGGCATGAACACAACTTAATCTCCAGAGCTGCTGTGAGTCACTTTGTGAGAATTTTACCATTTCTTTTGAGAAAATTAGCATCATCATACTGTATACACACAGAAACATCATGGCAACCTGTCAAAATAAAAGTAAGGTTTAACATGTAACAAATATATTACTCTTGTATTACTTTTGTACAGTATATGTACATCTTTAAATATTCAATTTTCTATCAAATTTTAATAAAACAATTAAATGATAAAAATAAATATTACAACCAGATTAATCACTTAATTGTAGAAAAAAGTATACAATTATAAGCCTATTAAACATTTTTTTAAAGGAATATTCACACAATTTCCCCATGTATTAATTTCAACAGTAAACCTCAGTTTGTTTGCCAAAAAATAAAAGGGTTTAATTTTCATTTGATTTAAAATAAATGTTTAATGCCTTCATTTGATTTTCAGAAGAATTAAAACAAGAATTTCTGGGGGGGGAAAAAAAGAAAGAAAGAAAAATAGTTTGTAGGGCCCTATTGTTCAAAATGTTATTAAACTTATTTTTTTTACTGAAATAAATGTTTTTGTAATTACACAGAGTAAAGTACCGAAAAAAGGTACCGTTGGGTACCGGCACCGAATTTCAGGTACCGGTTAAAATGTGAACGGTACCCAACCCTAGTATTAAGTGCTTGGCGTTCTGAAAATATTATTTAATTTCTTTTGTTTTTAAAACATGAATCACTAAGGTGACAACAATGCTATTTCAAGAGTCTTGCAACAGATATCACACTTTTTTTATTTGATTAATGCATTTTCAGACACTAATCAATATTCATTTGATTGTGATGGTCTGATTTATTTATTTATTTGCATATTGCTGTGGCACCCGTCACAATGGTCAAAATTTATGAAATTATTAATTCTTCAGCATGACAATGACTTCAGACACTCGTCAAAGCTCTGCTCCATCTATTTAAAAAACAAAGCTTGCATCAGATGTGTGGAGTATTCTGGAATACCCCGTCTTTCATGGCTTAAATCTGCTCTTTTATTCTATTTAGTCATCATAACGTATAGCAGCTGCTGTCTATTTTATTGTCAATTTTGTTTACATACTAAAAATGTACTTCTCTATCATCTTAGAAAAGCAGCCCTGCTGTTTGGGTGGGCAATATTTCTTTTACTAGCCTATAAGGTGTCTAAATTAGATCGAGAGTACCAGGAGTATAACCCCTATGAGGTCCTCCACTTGGAAGCAGTAAGGACGCATTTCTTGTCTTGTTCTTTGTCATTTTAATCTCTAACCTGCTTCTTCTCAAGATTAATAGATCCATTATGTTTCTGTTTAGGGAGTGTCTATTGCTGAGATTAAGAAACAGTACAGAGTGCTGTCTCTGAAATACCATCCTGATAAAGGTGGAGATGAGGCCATGTTCATGAAGCTTGCTAAAGCTTACTCGGCGTAAGACTGCTGTCACCACCTCTTTTATTTATTGTTGCCTTTTACATTTAATGTCATGTTATTTATAGCAGTTGCAACTAATTTTTCTGTGTGGGTTGGTGTTGGTATTGCAGTGTGTAATTATAGGTGCAGCACAATACAGTTCATAAAATCTATTCATAAAAATGTCATCCACTGTGCCAGAATGAATCACTTAATCTTCTTAAAATACTCACGCAGCACCTTTGTTATTTGTCAATATTGCACCGCATGTAATCATCTGGGTTTTTGAAATTGTTGTCCATGCTGATACTTTCTCACAGTTTAACTAATGAGGAAGCACGAGATAACTGGGAGAAGTATGGCAACCCTGATGGCCCAAGAGGTGACAGTTTCTTTAACTTGTTAACTTATTTCCAAAGAATTGTTCCGTTAGTATTACCTATGTTGAAAAGTCATCATTATTCCATCTTTCTCTGTATTTCTTTTTACTCTTGATCAGTGACAAGTTTTGGAATCGCTCTTCCTGCGTGGATTGTTGACCAGAAAAATTCAATGCTGGTAAGTTCACCCACTCATTTTTTCCAGCTGTCAGTTAAGTTTTCAACTAATAAGTAGATAAATACACCAAGAATGCAATAACTTGCAAAACCTGTTTGTGCCTTTCACAGGTTCTGCTGGTCTATGGGTTGGCTTTTATGGTTATCCTTCCTGTGGTTGTGGTAAGCCTTTGATCTTCTAGTGGCAATAAATAACTTTGACATTAGATATAATTGAAAACATGTTTTGGATCAGTAAGATTTATTTCTTTTTATGTTTTTGAAAGAAGTGTCTTATGCTGACCAAGATAATTGATCAAAAATACTGTAAAAACAGTAATATTGTTTAGTATTATTACAGTTTAAAACATCTCTTTTCTATTTTAATGTGTTTTAAGTCATTTATTTTATTTTTTTTATATTGATAACAGTTGTGTTAATGTGTATCATTATAAATGTCTTTATCACTTATGATCAATTTAGTGCGTCCTTGCAAAATAGAAAGTATCAATTTCATTAAAAAAATATCTTATTGACCCTAAACTTTCTAAAGGTAGTGTACAAGTGCTTGTAAACTCTAGTATAAACCCTTTCCATTCATTAATATTCTGATAAACCCAATAGTAACTAGCCTTTTTGTTTAGGGCACATGGTGGTACCGCTCCATCCGCTACAGTGGTGATCAGATTCTCATCAACACAACACAGCTTTTCATGCACTTTATGTACAAAACACCTACAATGAACATGAAACGTAAGTTGAAGAAAAATATTTTATGACCCCTTTAGATCTTTTAGATTCCTCAGACTGATTCTCTTCTGTGTTTGACAGGATTGGTGATGGTTTTGACGGCAGCATTTGAATTTGATCCTCGTAGTAACAAAGAGGCCATCATAAGACCAACAGACAACATAGAAGTTCCACAGGTAAAATGTTCAAACTATTTTGTGCTAAAGATTTAGAGTACTTAGTTAAGTGGCTAGTGGATAATGATTCAAATGTAATGCTCGTGTTGTGTTTCTTTGTGCAGTTGATTCGGGAGCTGGGGAACATTAATGTGAAGAAGAAGGAGCCTCCGTTCTGCTATCCCTACAGCCTGAAGGCTCGAGTCTTATTACTTACACACCTTGCCAGGATGGATGTTTCTGAGAACATAGAGGAGGGTATGCATTTAACATCTTCAACATTTAATCCTGTAGGATAATAACACACCCAACTACCAGCTTTCAAGCAATATATTAACCCAAATATGTGTTATCCCTGGGAATTAATTCCATGACCGTGGTGTTGCTAATGCCATGCTCTGCCAGTTTAGCTACCCAAACACAATATTCATGTTATTAATGTGAATTAATTGGCTGTTTTGTATCTTCTGCAGATCAAAGGTTTGTGATGAAGAAGTGCCCTGCTTTACTACAGGAACTGATCAATGTAGGCTGTCAACTTACTATGATGGCAACCAGTAGAGGAGGTAATTAATGTAATTAATATAATTAATATGTTTTCATTAATATAAACACTACTGTTCAAAGGTTTGATCAGTATGATTTATGTGATGAAATTAATCTTTTATTCCGGCAAGGATGCCTTAAAGTGAGCAGATGTGACACTAAATACTACATTGTTCAAAACAATTAAGTAAAATAAGTGCTATTCTTTTTAACTTGTTTTTTTTTTTGAAGAATCTTGAAAAAATGTATTACAAATTCCTCAAAAATATTAAGCAGCACAACTGTTTTCAGCATTGATAAGAAATATGTCTTGAGCACCTAAAAACTTATTAGAATCTAATCTAAAGGATCATGTGACACTGAAGACTGGAGTAATGATACTGAAAATTCAGCTTTGCCGTCACAGGAATAAATAATCTTTTTTAAATGTATTAAAGGGGTCATATTTATATATGATGTTGCTAAAAAGAACATTATTTGGTGTAATTATAAAAGTTACGCCTTCTTTCTTTGCGTGAACATTTGGGCGGCGGTGTGCAAATCTGCCCAGATAGTGACGTAGATATGTGGGGGCGTGTTAGAACGAGCCGTTTTAGGTAGGTGTGGCTGACTCTTAACTTCTATAAAGAATATCTCTTTGGATTTGAGACTTTAGTCTTTGCAACTTTACAGATCTACTTTATGCACCAAGAGCTTGTAACACGCCAAAGAGAAAGGAAACATTGAAATCGCATCATATGACCCCTTTAAAATAGAAATTGTAGTAATATTTCATCATATTGCTTTTCTTAATGTATTTTTCATCATGCATTCTTGGTGAGGATAAGAGACTTCTTTGAAAAACATAAAAAAATATTTTGAAAGGTAGTGTATATAATATGATAAATTGAAAAAAAGATTTTGCTGATGTATGATTTTATAGGGCTTCGGGCTCCCAGGTTGACGTCCATAGAGAACTGCATGAAGTTGTCTCAGATGGTGGTTCAAGGACTGCAGGAGGCCAAGTCTCCTCTGCTGCAGCTGCCCCATTTCGAAGAGGAACACCTCCGATACTGTATCTCCAAGAAGGTACATCTTTCTCTGAGGCATTGTAGCACAAAGAAAAATCTGTTAGAGACCCCAGTTAATCTGTGGTTGCTATGCAAAGCCTGTTTTCCAAATGTCTAAATAGGGCCCATGTCTCTCATCAGTATAAGGTACGGACATTGCAGGATCTGGTCAGTCTGAAGGACTCTGACAGGAGAAACATGCTGAGATTCCTGGGGGAGGAGAAGTATGATGAGGTCATGGCGGTCCTCGGGAGCATTCCCTATATCAACATGGAAACCAAACTTCAAGGTGAGATTGTTCAGCAGTGCTTGAACACTCATACATTCAATAAAAACCATTAAGTGTGATTTAAGACTTAAACTCTGCGTATGTTTCATTGCCCCATAGTGTTGGATGATGAAGATAGCAATAACGTCACGGCAGGATCCATTGTCACAGTTACCGTCACCTTGAGAAGGAAGAGAACGTCTGTAAGTAGCATATTTGCGAGAATATCTCATGAGCCACCATTTTCTATCCAGATGTTTATTTGAGGGTGTAATGCTATTCAAATATAGCAGTTGATTTAAATGTTATGTATTAGTGCTGGGCGGAATACCGGTTCATACCAAATACCGGTGTTTATTTTTGCTATGAAATAAATTTTTAAAATACCGCAATACCGGTGTATGTCGCTTAAACAACGTTCGGAACACAACACTGTTTGAAAGGGGTCCCTTTTCACTGTTGCACTGTGGTGAGGGAACAGCTGTATGTTACTAAGCGTGAAAGTTCCGAAACTGAAGCTGTAGAACTAATAGAATGTGATGACAGAAGAACTCATCCACAATATCCACATTGACCGCCACAAATATCCACTGCCCCCTGCCATCAGCTCCCGCGTCTCTCACACACGCACACAAGCGCAACTTTAGCACTAGATTTAGCAACTTTCAGACCCTTTTACGTTTGTTAATATCACATGCACTTTAAAAAAATTTTTTTTTTTTTTAGTTTGTTATGCAGACATGTAGCTGGTTAACGTATTAAAAGGGGTCGTGTTTTGTCACTATTTAGTGTGGTATTTTTTGGCTATTCACTCATCGTGACAGCAAAATAGGGCATTCTAAGTCAATATACTGCAGTATTTCCAGTAGAAAATGGAATCAGTAGACCCAGTAACCTATTTATCAGTAGAAAATATGGTTAACACCCGGTCATGCATGGGGGAAAAAAAAGACCTTCATGTACCATGAAACTGGTATAATTTTGAAAAATACCATGATATAAATTTTTGGTCATACCGCCCAGCACTATTATGTATGTATTATGCAAAGTGATTATGGTCGTGGTATGGCACATCTTGCAGTTGCAGCAGGCATCCACAAGAGGTCAATGCTGAGCTACTTTGGTTTTTAGGTTGAGAATTCATTTCAGCAAGACTACCTACTACCAAAACAGTTTTTATTTTTAAAACGCTCAACAACATTGTACTAAATTCCTGTTTGTGTTTAGGAGATGTTTGAGAAAGAGGATGCACCGCTACCTACAGAGGAAACTAATGCAGAGGAGGTAGTATTGCTTTCAAGCTATTACTGTTTGTCAAACATAATTTTATAACGAATTAAAAATGCATATTTACATTTTGTTATTTGCTCATTATAATGTCGAAAAGTATATGAATATTATTTTGCCATTTGCAGCAAGGTGATGCCAAAAACAAAACAAAAGTTTGGCAAAATAAGAATAAAGGAGCTAAAAAAGCTGCCAAGTCCAAAAAGAAGAAACTGACTAAGAAGAAACCAGTCACCCAACAGCAAGCAAAGGGAGACAAGGCCAAACACCCCAATGGCAATGTGGCAGGAAATGTAAGGATTCTGAAACTATAGACCTGTATATGTTGAGTGTTACACATTATTTTGTCTTTTAAAGAAACAGACTTTAATTTTATCCATTCAAAAAGGTCATATAGATTTTTTTTTTTTAAAGAAATTAATACTTTTATTCAACAAGGATGCATTAAATTGACCAAAAGTGATAGTTAAGACATTTACAATGTTGTAGAAGATTTCCATTTCAATTAAATGATGTTCTTTTGAAAAAAAAATTATCAGTTACCACGAAAAGCAGCACGACTCATTTCAACTTTGATAATAATAATAATGTTTCTTGACCACTAAATCAGCATATTAGAAAGATTTCTGAAGCATATTACACTAAAGACTGGAGTAATGGCTGCTGAAAATTCGGCTTTGCCATCACACAAATCAGTTATATTTTAAAATATATTAAAATAGAAAACAGTTATTTGAAATTTAACTAATAATACTAGTAATTTTAAATTGTAACAATAGTCCAAAATATTACTATTTTTTTTAATCAAATAAATGTATAAGAGGTTTGATTCAAAAACATTAGAAAATCTTGCCAGTCCCAAACTTTTGAACAGTAGTATATATTTGTGACCCAGGACCACAAAACCAGTCATAAGGGTCAATTTTTCAAAATTGAGATTTATACATCATCTGAAAGCTGAATAAATAAGTTTCCATTGATGTATGGTTTGTTA